CGACAGTTTGTGGAATACTGCTGTGCGCAATTGGCTGCTGCGTTTTGCCCACAAAATATACAGTTAATTCACTATACAGCATACTCTGCGAAGTGCTTTAAGACATCTCAAAGACGTGATAAGCCGCGAGATCAAATGCAAGGATTATTATTATTTACTGTTATATCGTTGGGACATCCTCCTGATGTGAAAGGCGCTATACAAATGTTTTTTGTTGTTGTTGTCATGCAATATCTGAGGACAGCTTACTATTTCGATTTTTCCCAGACTTGCACACAATCCACAATTGCCCAGCATGGGAGGTCTCGCCTGGCATAGAACCTATAAGATATTATCACACACTGAATTAGGAGAGTTTTGCAGGGCAGGGCAGGCTGTGTGCGTGTGTGTGTGTGTTTGTGTTTGAGACACAGAGGAATCACTCCAATGAGTGTTGTTGAATCGAGTCAATGAAGAGTGAAAGGCAACTTACTTGCATAAAAGATTGGCGGAGGTTAACCACTTGTTGCTTGGATCTGGTCTGGTGTACAGTTACACACAAAGGGAACTATATTTACAGTGTGAGACCGAGGATGGTGGACTTTTGTGAGACTCTTTCCCCCCCAACCTGAGAATAAGTGATCTGTCGAGGATGCTGCAGACGTGTGTGTGTTTTTTGTTCTTTGAGTGGAGCGACGTGGTTTATTGTGATTTAAGCTGCTCCCCCCCCAGAGCAAAAAGCATTGGTATCGCTTTGTGTTCAATGCAATAACGTAAGTTAATACTTAGAATGGCTTGAGCCTGAGTGAGAGGCTGTGCAAATGAGCTATGTTTCTGATTTCCGAGCATGTGGTTTCAAGAAAGAGGGAAGGTCTGCGTGTGTGTGTGTGTATTGTGTCACTTCTTAAGATCCTCAATAAATAAATATGCAGAAATTGATCTGGAAAAAAAATATACAATATATAATATTTTAAAAAGGACTTAATACCTGTGTGTACAACCATTGTCTCAGTGATTCACTGGTGCCCATTTATTACCAATCCTGTTAAAAGCCTCTTTTTCTTAGTATCTGATCGATTTCCGAGACATTTCCTCTGGGGGATTATCATAAGATGTTTGAACCCTGCAACGTGCATCTTCCCATCGTTTGCAACCACTGTTGTTCTGTACAGTCACTGGTATAAAATCCGGCCGCTGTTGATTCTGAGATCCAGTTTGGTGCTTTAACTTGATTTCGGGTAAATTGAGATTTCCTAACTTTTAGGAAGATGCGGTTTAGAGAGGCAAAGATATATTATTGCTTGTGTTAAAAGTTCAGCACTGGTGAGAGAGAGAGAGAGAGAGAGAGAGAGAGAGAGAGGGGGAGAGAGAGAGAGAGAGCATTTGCCTGGTTTAAACTCCCTGCCCTAGTCCTCTGGTCAGTCTCTTATGGGAAAATAAATCAACCCAAACTCTGAACATTGCACATTGAGTGCATTGACTCATTCAGTGTTTAACTTAACTTAGACTAGAGCCGGTGAGGCAATGGGCTGCTTCGTTTATTCTCAATAGACGGGTCTATATATATATATATATATGAAAAAAACATAAGTAAATATCCGCATCCTGCAGGTGCACAGACCTTGAGTATCATCAATATACGAGCCAGGCAGTCGGCAAACAGAAATGATCCCTTGCCATTAGATTAATGTTTATCTGAAGCAAATGTCGGTCCATCTCTCTCTCTGTGTGTCTGTCTCTATGTCTCTCTTACTCTCTCTCTCTCTCTCTCTCTCTCTGTCTGTCTCTATGGCTCTCTCTCTGTCTCTCTGTCTGTCTCACTGCGAAAAGAGAGTCGGTTTTGCCATCTGCGCTATTGGGTGTATCGACTGATGACTTGGGAGTGAGTGAGTGAGTGAGTGAGTGAGTGAGTGAGTGAGTGAGTGAGTGAGTGAGTGAGTGAGTGAGTGAGTGAGTGAGTGGGAGAGCACTCGACCGTTCAGCACCATGGACAGCTCAGAGAGCCACTTCCCAGGCAGTGCTCCGCTCGCCTCGCTCACCCTTCATTTATAAGCATCGTGGGGGGGGGGGGGGGGGGGGTGTGCGGGGGGGTGGGCGGTGGGGTCTTGGATCATTGCCCTCTCCAACAGCCCCTTAATTTACGAGCGTTGTTATTTCTGTATGACTTAGCTCCACTCCAAAGAGGCTGAGCCACACACTAATGGATCAGTAAACTGACGTAAGGCTTCACTTACCAGTCAAATCCATTATAACGCTATTGTTATTCACGAAAGCCAAAGAAACTCAAAAGCTTTGCCAAAACAAATAGTTTTTTTTCCGACCCCCCCCACCACCCCCTCCCCCCCCCCCCCCCCCCACCACCGACTCATCCCAGCATCTGATTAATCTTGAGGAGTATTTCCGGCTCAACCTGAATGCTGTCCAAAACATCTGCATTTCGAATGAAATGATTGCATTTTGCAGCTCTGGGATCTTGAGTGGAAAGAGCTCACTTGCTTTATTTTATTCACACCGATTAAAAACGCTCTCCACCTCTCGCGGACCTTTTAGTTACACGAAAGCCACAGCTTTAAACTGCAGATCCCGTCACTTGATATCTTTTTTGTTGAAAAAAAATCTAAATTAAAAATCACTGAAATCACTGCTCCGAATATATTTTGTTAAAACACCGATTGATTGCTCGTGGATGGCACTTTCCACATAATATATAATGTATCCCGATATGTACTGGACACACGGACAAGCAATCCACGGATGGGTCACAACCAAATAATTTTCATGGAGACTTTCATTGCATTGCAATGGTTTGCACACTGTGCACTCTGCGCTTCCCTTCACACCGACTCGATGAACCTGTGCATGTTTTCCATGTTCCTAACGTGACATCCACCGGTATCAACTGGGGATGGATATTGTAATATACCCTTTTTTGTATTTTTTTTTTACATGTAACCCTTTGGCACTGTTCGAAAAGAGGGGTTTACTCCCTGGTGTCCCTGACCAACACCCCTCTCCCCCCCTCTCCCCCTCTCCACCCCCACCGATACAATTGGTCATTCACTTCTTGGCTGTTTGTGGGACATTCCTGGGACTTGCGAAATACAGTCACTACACTTTAGAGTGGTGACTGCGTCGCGCCCCCTGAGACGTCCCGCCGACTTGAAAGGGTGTAAGGATTATAATTATTAGTTTAGACTGTAATACACGTGTAACCTAAACAACTCAACTGCTGACCTTTACCTTTTAGGAGCAATGGAACTCCTGTCAGAGAAGTAGTTCGAAGTTACATTTTAAAAGGTATAAAGCGGGTTTGACATTCGATGAACTGTCCTGTACTTCATCGTCAAAGTATCGATCCAAGGCGCTGAAATAAAATGCAGGTGTTATGAAAATAAGTGCAAACTGAAGAGTAAATAATATTAATAATAATAATAATAATACTCCTTGCTTTTGATATAGCGTCTTATCACCTCATTGAGACGTCTCAAAGCGCTTTTTGCAGAAATATTTTGTAAAGTGGAGTGACTGTGTACTTTGTGGGCGAAAGGCATGCACCATACATACACACATATGTATATATACTATAAATATACACATATGTATATATATATAAATAATCCTTGGATTATTTTCACGCTTTTCACGTCTCCTCGATATACTTATTATATTTATTATACATGCATTTATACATATAAAAACACATAACTCCAGTCAGTTTGCATCAGACAGTGTGGGGACAATATGCGAAAAATAACTTGAATTGCACATTCCCCCCCACCCCACCCCACCAGTCCCTGGTTCAGAAGCGGAATTCGTTGACTTAAGCAGCAGATGTCGCTCCTGCACAAAGTGACCAAGTCTGACTGTGTTTTACCGACCCAAACAGCCTGTGGCATTTGGCTGGGGAAGGGGTGTGTGTGGGGGGGTGGAGGGGGGTGGGGGGGTGTGTATGGGGGGGTATGTATGTGTGTGTGTGTATGGGGGGGGTATGTATGTGTGTGTGTATGGGGGGTATGTGTGTGTGTGTATATGGGGGGGTATGTATGTGTGTGTGTGTGTGTGTGTGGGGTATGTATGTGTGTTTGTGTATGGGGGCGTATGTATGTGTGTGTATGGGGGGGGGTATGTATGTGTGTGTTTGTATGGGGGCGTATGTATGTGTGTGTATGGGTGTGTGTGTGTGTGTGTATGGGGGGTATGTGTGTGTGTGTATGACGGGTAATGTATGTGTGTGTGTGGGGGGGGTATGTATGTGTGTGTGTGTATGGGGGGTATGTATGTGTGTGTGTGTGTATGGGGGTTATGTATGTGTGTGTGTATGGGGGGGTATGTGTGTGTGTGTGTATGGGGGGTATGTGTGTGTGTGTATGGGGGGGTATGTGTGTGTGTGTGTATGGGGGGTATGTGTGTGTGTATGGGGGTTATGTATGTGTGTGTGTGTATGGGGGGTATGTATGTGTGTGTGTATGGGGGGGTATGTGTTTGTGTATGGGGGTGGTATGTGTGTGTGTGTATGGGGGGTATGGATGTGTGTGTGTGAGGGTATGTATGTGTGTGTGTGTATGGGGGGGTGTATGTGTGTGTGTATGGGGGTGTGTATGTGTATGGGGGGGTGTGTGTGTGAGAGGGTATGTGTGTGTGTATGGGGGGGGGGGGAGAGGGGGGGGGATTGTGGAGAGAAAGAGAGAGAGAGAGAGAGTCAGGGTCGTAATATCACACATTTTCCTTTACCAGTCCCCCCCCCCCCCCCTCCCCCCCCAATAAAAAAACGCTGATTGTACGCGATGACTTTCGAGACCCCTTTCACGCTGATCGATCCCCGGTGGGACAAGTATCGATTAGCTTCACGTGATCCATAACTTTGTGAATGGACACAGACGTCAGCGCCGGGACGAGCGGTCGGGTTCCCGGAGCTGATTGGCAAACAGGTCCCACTCCGGATTGGCAGAGCGACTCATTTACATTTACACCCACTCGCTGAGTACACAAAGATCCTCCAGTGGGTGGGGGGGTATTTTTTTTCCCCTATAAAAGGATGGGCATTCAGGCAATATCCAACAGTTCCCAGAGTTTTTTTTTATTGCAAAAAAAAAACACACACCAGAAAAGCCAACTTAACGAAGAAACTTTTCTTACTCCTGGTTCGGGAAGTAAGCGGATTACTTTAGGTAAGTGGATCTTCGGGCTGACTCTCGCCTCTGGGAATTTTTTTTCCGACCTGATCTGATCTGTTCTGTTCTGTTCTGTTCTATTCTTTCTGTTCTTTTCTCTTCTGTTCTGTTCTGTTCTGTTCAGACAGATGTATGCACTACTGTACGGCAACATCACGAAGTGATGACCCACGAGAGATAAAGATAGCGACGAGAGAGCTTTTTGTTTTTGTTCAACTGCATCCGAGTGATGGATGTAAAGGGAGTGCAAGCTGAAAAATCAACAGAATTACTCTTTTTTATTTTTATATATATATATATACACATATGTATGTTGATGGATGTGTCTTTGGGAACGTTAGTGAAACAAATTGGTTTCATTGGTACCACTCTCTTTCTCTCTCCTCCTCTCTCTCTCTCTCTCTCTGGATACTCAATCTAATGACATTTACTGCCCCTTTTTCTTTATCCTGATGTTTTGAGAGTTCCTGAACCATTCAAATGTTCAGAAAAGTCATCTTCTTGTGTGTGTGTGTGTGTGTGTGTGTATTTATACCACATAAGTTCTGTGCTTTGGCAAATGTGTTGATGTACTGTTATGTACACACAGTCGTCTGATCTGAAGCGACAATCAAAGACCTTCACAACATGAAGCCATTCGGCCCAGTTTGCCTGTAATCACTCTCTGGGGTAATTAGTCCTATCTAATGAAGTGCCACCCATTTAAATGGACATTGTAACTCTCTGTGCATTTAGAATAAGAGTCTTGCTTCCGTTTTAATACAGTCCTCCTCCCCACCACCACCACCACCATCATCTGTGACATATTTTAAGTTTTTTTTTAAAAAAACAAAAAAATTGTATTTGATTTGTTTTCTGGGAGGGGAAAAAAAAGCTTTCTGTCTGCTTGTCTGTCTGTCTATCTATCTATCTAAGTTGTGTTTGAGTTGTAAGTTATATAATGTGCCCCTTTGTGACATACAGTAGTTTATTTCTCTTGTCTGGTGCTTTCAAACATACCTCTGGCAGCATTATTCGTTGCTGGCGAGATGTGTTTAAACTCCTAAGTGACTGTAGTGGGGTTGAGGGAGAGTTTTATTGACGGGAGAGAATTTTCACTCAGCTGAAGTAACCCATCAGTCAGCGATCTTGGAATTACAGTCTTTGCACAAGGTATTTAAACCTTGGGCAGCGACGCTGGATGCTAAAGGTTTAATATCATTAGGGGGTGAAGGGTACCAGCATCGTTTATAATTCATTAGCCTGTTAGTCTTACCACAATCCATTACTTAACTGGATAGCTCCAATGTTGTCAAGTGCTATCGATTTCAGGGTAAAATATTACGGTACAGTTCAGGAAAATGCTCTCTGAATAATAACATATGTTTTATATAATCCGTCCCCATCTCCAGACTGACTCGTGCCTTGGTGAGCATAGGCTCCTATTTAAGAGTTCCTGAACCATTCAAATGTTCTCAAAAGTCAATTCTGCGAGATGCACTTTTCTCTCTCTCTATCTCTCTCTCTCTACCTTTTTTGTTTGGTCTGTTTCACTTGATGGTCACATCCTCAGCGACTTCCAGCCCCCAGTGGGAGAGCAAGAAACCTGGGGCACAATTAGTCTGAAGTCATGAGCTAAGTATAAACCAGGCTGTGACACTCTAATGTGATTGATGTTCCTGCGTGATACGAGCTGGTAACCGGTTTTTGTTGTTGTTGTCATCTTTCCCCTCAGACACAAAGAAGACAACATGATTCTGCTCAAGGTTTCAGCTTTCTTTGTGGTCTACGCTGTCTTTATGTGTCAGATAAGCAGCTGTTATGCGGCACCTACCAGGTAGGGATCAGCTGAGGACTTATTGTTAATAGAAGTCTTCATGCTATCAGGATTCATGAGTTGAGCCTTTGCTAAGAAGGGCGATGCCAGGCTATAGAGAAGTGCCGCATTACCTCAATTACTCAACCCACTGCACTGAACAATCTTGCCTCTTAACAGTTAATTGGGCAGTCTTTAAGCAACTGGACGTTAAAGGGACAATCGGAAATATAGTAGATATAAGTAACTGATGAATGTTACCGCCAAGCATTTATTAAGAGTTTTTTTGGAAAAATGGAGATAATTATAGGCAAGAGAAGTATTCCTATATTACCCAAAAATAAAACTCGTCTGCATTAAATTTGTTGGTAAATCTACTGAAACGGGAAATAACTTTGCATTTAAATTTATTTTTTGGGGGGGAGGAATTTCTAGCTAGTTATGGTTATTTGTTGTCACTTAGCTTGCATTTCCCAAGAAGTTTTGGTGGTTGTAAGGGGTGAGGGGGGTAATGTGAAGGAGGAGACTGCTGAAGCTTTTTTTAACAAAAAGTGACAAATACAAACGTTTCTGCTATTGTCACCTGAATAGAATGAGTGCTATGTTTGCATAGCAGCTGCAATAAGACAACATATCTTGCAATAAAGTACTGTCAGAATGAATTTCCAATGGCTAGTATTTTACCATACTGTACAATAAAATACAGTACAGTTGTGTTGGGCTGGGCTTTTATTGGGCTTGAGTCGTATTGCATTGGGATTGTATTGGGGTAGAGGTATATTTGGGTTGGGATTGTATTGGGGTAGAGGTGTATTTGGGTTGGGTTGTATTGAGTTCAGACTGTTATTGGGCTTTAGCCAACCTATCAGTCCGCCTTGGACACAGATTCCTTACCCTGAAGTTCTCGCCTGCAGATCCATGCTACAATCATCGACTGATAGGGTGGCGCTTACTGATTATGAGGTCCGGAGGCTACTGAACGCGTTGGTCAGGGAGTTCATGCAGATGATGGCAGAGGAACTGGAGCAACAAGTACCCGATGGCAACAGGTAACAACAGCGATCCTAATGGACTGAACGGTTGTACATTGGTGGCTCAGCCTTGTATATGGAATTATGCTACATTACTGTGAATTATTTGCAAGATCTGTTCTTGATATAGAAGATTGCAGTCAAGGAAATCTGGTGAGCTCCTGGGTTGATTTTTTTTTGGTCTACTTTAATATGCAACTGATTTACTTTCCCGCCAATTAGCCAGACTTATCTCAAATTATCCGTCTTCCGGTGATGGTGAAAGTGGTTGATATTTTAAGGTGGGGGGGAAGAAAGCATTCAGGCTAAAAAGGTATGTTTTAAAAAAAAATGCCATGTACTGTAACTGCCAAAGTGAAGTCTATTTCTCTGTCTCGATCTTGCATGGGAGAAAGTCTTGGGAGAACTTCCATGTGCTTTGCAGATCGCAGTAAGAGAATGCAAGTCATGGATATGTGTGTGTGGCGAGGTGCCTGTTTTATGCATGTTCATTGTGGATGTGAAAGTTCCCTTCGTTTTAACAATTAACCCATTAAATGCATGACGAGACTTGACAAGAGGGCCCTTCAATGATGCAACTTGTATGTTTTTTTTAAAAAAAAGAACCGGAAGAAACGGGGAGGAAAAAAAAAGCATGAAATTCGTCGCAGAGAGACTCGATAACGTAGTAGTGAATGCCTGACGTTACGTGTCAATCTGGTTCGCCAGTGCAGAGAAGTTTGCATGTGACAGTGGTCTGTTTGCCTGTGAGATATTGGTTCCAGTGCTCTGTTAACCCGACCTGCATGGTCCCGCATGCCTTGTTATTATGAGATCTCTTTGCACGTTTCTCTCCGCAGCCTGGACAGACCCATTGCCAAACGGTGCACGAGTCTCAGCACTTGTGTGGTGGGCAAGTTGTCTCAGGAGTTGCACAAATTGCAAACCATTCAGCGCACTGATGTGGGATCTGCGACCCCCGGCAAGAAAAGGAACATTCTGGCCGGGCTGGAAAACCAACGCTATGCAAACTACGGGGAGCCCTTCGAAAACAACTAAAAAAAAAACCTGTTTGTAATGATGCATGGATGGATCTCAGATGCTTGAATGACGACAAAGCCTGATAAAGTGCTATGTTTTTTTTCCTTCCCCCCCCCCACCACCCCCCCACCTCTCCCATCTTGACTCAGTTTTCAACAGAGAATGCTTCACATGGACATAAGTTAGAATAGTGCAGCAGTCTTGCTTGCTGTCCATCAATAAACCAACCACTTTAGCTTAAAACAAGCTGATTTTTCCTCATTGCATTTTACATTACAGTGGCTGAATATTAGTGACGTGTCATTAGATGAATGCTTCTTCGTGCATGGCATGAGTCTCTTGTTCAATAAACTTATTTTTCTACCAGGAACGCATTTTCTCTTTTTCTCTATGACTCAAGATCTGGAAATCGAGAACCCAATCGTATTTTGCAAACCGAGATCGATTTTGATCAGGTTGCCCGAGTGCCTCGCTCGTCCAAAGCGGTAGTTTTTAGATTTTTAAAAAAAAAATCAATCAATGAATCAATCAATCGATCTTTTCGAAGCCAAAATCCTTTCCTGTGTTGGTAACATCACTCACATTGCACTTAAATTATTGTGTGCTTCATTTCCAATTTGATGCCATTGATAACATTGAACGTTGCAACTTGGAGTAGAACACCGGTTGTTCCCACCTAAATAAATAAGATTTCGGCAAAGTGAATTCCTATCATATCTTGAGTGTCTTTTTTAAAAAAAGAGAGAGCCTAGTGTACATACACATGTGTGTTCACTGCAACAGCACTGCAGGTGTCAGTGTGCATTTTATTAGATGGTAGAGCGCGAGAAAGAGGAAATGAAACAGTGCTTTTTTTTTGAAACTTTTCTGACTTTATACTATTTCAGGTAAGAATTCATTTTCCCTCCCTCCCTCCCCTTTCGGTGTCCGAGTGTAGCGCTCCCTGTAATAAATGTATGTTGCCTTAATGTGCAAAGAGGGAAGGTTTCAATGTTGACCCCCTTTGCTCTTTGCTGGGTTAAGAGACTCGAGAGTTTTAACTTCTTTCAGAGTTGCATCCAGTCAGTTCTCAGAGAGTGGCGAAGAGCAGAACAGCTTCCATCTCTTCACCCGGGTAGCTTTCTGGATGAGAATACAGTAAAACTCGCCTAAATCTGATCTGTATGCATGGTATAATCACCCAAGTCGTACATTTATTTGATATAACTAATACTGTGCATAAGTCATATTAAATGTATGGTCCCAACTGATACCCTATGAGGTTTACTGTATTAGGTTTACTGTATGGATCTCTGTTGGTACCCTCAAGCTTCTGACCAGGATACAGTATCCAGTTGTGTTGTGACCTGAATCTCTTCTCTGTTTAAGTTGAGCCAAGAGCTTCAACTATGAGTTGGCTGGTATCAGTAAAACAGTAAAAAAGAGGGGCTATTCAGTGGTTAGACATGATTGCTGGTAGTTTATCATAATAATTCTTGCAATTGATACAGTGCCTTATCGCGTGGTTGAGACGTCTCAAAGTGCTTTATCAGAATATAGTAAAGTAGATTGTATATTCATGGGCGAAAAATTTAACCCAACTCAAGGGTTAATTTACCCTTTACCTTCCCCATTTGCTCCAGGCTTTCAGAGAAAAAAAACGACTCAAATCTGGAAAGCAGTGAGAAGTAACGCTTTGAGCCATGTATGTGAACGTAATGAGCTGGATAAATGCATGTTTTTGTTTTTCTCTGAAGCAGTGTCACTGTGCAAAAGCGAGCCTGTAAGACAGCCACATGTGTGACTCACCGCCTGGCTGACTTCCTGAGCCGGACAGGGGGAATCGGCAACAGTGACTTTGTGCCAACCAACACAGGGTCCACAGCCTTCGGAAGGCGAAGAAGGAATGCCCAGATGTAGATAACCCAAGGACCTGGTAAAGACTCGCTTCTTTAACTGCTAGGAAATGTGTGGGGAGGGTTGCCGTGTTTCATGCTGTGTAAATGTAACTGGCAACTAATCATACTTATAATAATCCTTGCAATTGGTATAGAGCCTAATCACGACAGAAGGACGTCTCAAAGCGCTTTACAGGAATTACTGTGAAATGGATGACTGTGTGTTTTGGGGGCGAAACACGGGGCAGCTAGTTTGCGCATAGCAGTGACCCACAAAACAGCCATGGAACGGAGTGAGCGATCAATTTTAGTTGAGAAATTGTGTCCATTGTGTTGGGGAGTGATGATCACACCTGCATGATATCTATCACCATCACACCACTGCAAATTCCATCTATCTGCAGCCAGGAGATTATTTTGCTGAGTCTCAGTATAAAGATTCTCAAAAAAAAAAGGTTACTCACTCGTATTTTTTGGGTTGAAATTAAGAGCGTTGTCGTTTGTACTTTGAAATTTTTGCAATGGGCTGCAATGCAGGAATATATTTTCCTTTTGTTCTGATTCTGACACATGTCAGATCTCAGATGAATTCTCCAGTTGCAGGTTGCCGGAGGAAAGAAACTCATTTTAACACACTGTTGCTTTACTGTGTTCAAAACACGACAAGGCATTCCCATCTGAACAGCAGTCCCAAAGTGACATCTATAGCACTTTCATGTCAAACCGGCATGGTTGTGGATGTCACTGTGCGAAGAGGGAGTCGGCGTACAGGAGTACAATACAATTTACATTGATGTAGCATCCTTCACATAGCCTCCTCTTCAACCCCCCCATCCTTCCATGAGAGCAAGCATCCACCTCAATGACATCTTTTGGAATGATTTTAGTGATTGTTTCTAACCTTTGTTGAGCATGCAACCAATTTTACATCATTTGTCTCAATGTTGAAGAGTAGTAATTGTAATAATCTTTGCGTTTGGTATAGCGCCTTTCACGTCAAGAGGACATCCCAAACACTTCATAAGATTTTACTATGAAGTGGAATGACTTTGTATGTGTACGGCAGCCGATTTGCTCACAGCTCTGTCGCACAAATAGCCATGAAGTGAATGATCAATTTTTTTAATTTGAGGGATTGTTGGCCAGGACACTGGAAGAAAGTCCCTTTTCTTTTCAAAGACAGTAGTGTCACAGGATCTTTAATGTCCATCTGAACAGGCAGATGGGACCTTGGCTTAATGTCTCATCCAAAGGACATAAAGTCTCAGAAAGTGGATATTGCATTATATATATAATATATATATCTGCAATATTTAAATCCTGCAAAATAATTACTGCCCACCAAAAGCATGGAAATAGTGAATGTTGTGTGCAATTGGCTGTCGTGTATCGCCCACAAATACAGTCTTTACTTCACTTTACAATATATTTTGGAAGCCCTTTGAGATGTCTCATCGACATAAGGTGCCATATCAAATGCAAGGATTATTATTCTTAATACTGAGTCTCCTCTATTTTTGTGTCTTACAGGCTGACGGCAGGAACTGGCGAGACAAAGTTCTTTCACTTCTGTTCGATGTCGCTTGGCTTGCTTCCTCCATCGTAGAAGCACGGGACAAAAAAATAAAACCGATTGGAGATGTCCACTCCACAACGTTTTAATGTTACGGTTCAAACTCGTCTTGATTTTGTCTGAGTTTTTTTTTGTCCACCCCCTCCCTCATCTTCGGTAGGGCTATAGAGCATCTCGGTAATGTATGGTGCAACCACAAGACAAAGAACCACACAACTTTTACATCCTTCCATGATTTTAATATGCAAATTTTATTTGACATAAAAGTGATGGCATATATTATTTAATGACGCTTGGGTTCAGACGTGCAAATGTGACTTCCAGCCCCCAATGCTTTTAGAACCGTATCTGGGCAGCAACTCTTGAGTAACTCGGGGATATATTAAATGTTGCCTCTCAAGGCATATATGTAATATATACTGTGTGTGGTGCCTTGATGTAAAACACTATAAATTACATGATTGTACAGTATATTAAAATGACACCTTAAGTATTGTATCAATTGTGAAATCCGCAAGATTAAAATATTTTCGATACATTCGCATCGGCGCAGTTTTATTGCACTCAACGTTAGGTCTCACGTTTTTTCATTTGTGGGGGGTGTAACTTGGTTTCAGTGGGAGGGAGTGGAGTGGAGGGTGGAGGGGTTCATCTCACTCCCTTTTTCTCTCATTCAATCGCTAATCTACGACGAACTCTTCCTAATTTGAAGCGTGTGTTTATATGGCTCACAACATGCTCGATTGGTAGATAGAGAACGTGGAGCTTTAAGTGCAATTAGCTCACTGGCATCACTCCCTTGAAAGGGTTAACCTCCTCGCTCTTCCTTGCACAGTAACACGCGAGGCTGGGGAATCACTCACTTTGTTTTCAAGCTGACGGGCCGCAGCACTCACTCAGCAAAGGGGAGCTTCCCAACTCTCCAGTGAAACACTGTCTGTGTGCTCAGTCTTTCTGTTGAATTTGGGCAAGTGAAGCAACAGGTATCAGCGGGGTAAAGGTAGAGGGTAAACCTCTGTAGAGGCTCACCTTTGTTTATTACAACAACAACAATTTACATATGGTGCAAGTTGCTGTTATTGTATTATATATTCGCGCTTCACGCAGGGTTGCGTCTCGCAGCACAGTGGCAAAGCCTGACGCTTCAATATTGTACAAATTATTGGCCAGAGAATATGGGGAGAATGCAATTTTTAGAAGATAACATGACTCGCACTTGCAGCTAGGATTGAAGGGAGGGAGGGAAGGAGGGAGGTTTAATTGTGTATGGCAACTGTGTATAGCAGACTGACCATCACTCATTTTTTGGTGAGCCAAGGAATCTCTCCTTCGGCATCTTTAATACTGTTCAGTGTTGTTCTCACTGCGCCCCCCCCCTTTGCACACACCGCACAGCAGCTTTGACCATTAGCAACTGAGAGCTCAGTCCATTAAGGCGGGGGCTGGAGATTCCACCCCCCCACCCACAAACCCCACACTGTGTGATGAGCCATTTAAAGATGCCTGTTTTTATAAAATGGTGAAAAATATCACCGTCAGGTTTCATAGCCAAGAGTTTGATTTTTGAATCTAGTCCTTGTTTGAATTAGTGACAGAATGGTTATGTTTTGGGATGGAAGAGAAAACGGGATTGAGGTTCCATGGAAGCAGGCCATATGGTCCTCAGTTTGCCAATGCCATCTCACTGGAGTGCTGAGTTTCACAATGCCCTGATATTACTGTATATAACAATGTGCTTGCGTTCCTGTAGCTCAGTGGTTAGAGCACTTGCCTCGCAAGCGAGAGATCTGGGTTCGATTCCCGGCAGGACGAAACCTTGGGCAAGTTTCCTTACTCTACATGCCTGATAATAATCCCTTAGGAAAAATAATGATAAAATTGGTCACTTCAATCCACGACTGTTTGAGGGACACTGCTGTGCGCAATTGGCTGCCCTGTTTCACCCACAAAATATACAATCAATTCACTTTATAGTATATTCTGTGAAGCGCTTTGAAACATCTGGAAGATGTGAAAAGCGCTATAATAATAATAATCCTTGCATTTGATATAGCGCTTTTCACATCATTATTATTAATATTATTACTGTTGTTATGATGGATTTGGGACTGATATAATGTCCTAGTTATAACACATTGGCGTATCTATAGCTGAGACCGGGTACTGACTGTATTGTGGTATGTGTCTTCCTTTAAATGAGACTAAACCTGTCTGCCTGTTCAGGTGGAAGTTAAAGATTCCACAACACTATTTGAAAAGAGTGGAGAGTTTCTCTTAACGTACTGGCTGATGATCTCCTAGGTCATTCACTTCATGACTGCTTATGGGTATTGCTATGTACAAATCGCATGAAGCACCTGTGAAAAGCACTATATCAAGTGTAAGTATTATTATCACTACCTGTTGAATAAACTGTAACATATAGACTTCAGATGGAATAAATGTCTTCAGTTTATTTTGACATCTGGTACCTTGTTGCTGGAACAACCCCTCATCGCCCCCTCCCCCCGTCCCCCACCCACAAATACCCCACCCACACACCCCTTACTGCACGAAGGATTTGGTACGAAAGATTTGAAATACTGAGATGGGCCTTTGAGGTGTAAATTTGCAAAGCGCTTGTAAACAGTCAATCTGGAACATCTCTCTCGCTCGTAACCATGTGAAGAAAATGTTTTGAACGTTACGTGTTATGTTTTCACAGAAAGGGTAGTAGTAATCTGGAACTCTTTCCCCCAAAATGCCGTGAACGCTGGATCAATTAATTGTCGTTCATAGATGTTTGTTAGGTAAGGGTATCAAGGGATATGGAGGAAAGGCGGATAAATGGAATTGAAGTACATGATCTAATAGAATGGCAGAATAGACATGAGAGGCTGAATGGCCAAATCCTGTTCTTATGATTGCACAGTTCCCTATCTTATTCTGCTATGGGCTTTGACCCCAATACAGAGTGGTCCTCAATTGCCTGGTGTAATTTGGTGCTGGCTGGCTCCGCTCCACCAAAGACACCAGTTTGAAGAATCAAAGGCCACTTGATAGGCTTCCTTCAATAGGTCTCTTTGCAGGTTCAACTAACTTAAGACTCTAACTTCGGCAATGAACTTGGGTTGGACTCATCACCAGCAAATAGACTGAATTAGTTCCTTCGCTTGCTGATACTGAGAGAAACACACCCAGTGATTGCCAAGTTAAACCCTTGCATTCTGATTGGAATGTGATTCCAGACTGCATAGCGTTTTCTGAGTTTATAGCAAAAGTCTGATGCCAAATTTATATCAACACTGGAATAAATCAAACGGTTAGTATTAGAATAGCATAAGACAAGAGGGATTGTGCAGTGTGATATTGGGGACGTGGAGCATTCCAAGACTGGAGCCTGCATAGACACATTCAGTTTGATTCATGCATTCTACAGCATTTGCCAGAAATGACAGGACAGGGCTAACAACATTGGGTTTAGGTGCTGAGCAAGTCACTCATGTGTGATCTATCTCAGGCACCGCATGAATAATTCATAACAGTTAATTAAAATGTTCTCTGTAACTACCTTGGCAATTCTTGACAGTTGACTGGTGGACCATCTGTCCACCTTATTAATCGATGAAATTCAGTCAGAGAAGTTTGTCTTCAAATAAATGCTCACCATTAGTCTTCCCTGTAATATTATTGAGACTGTTGATGTATGGGGGAAATGGTAGCAAAGTGATGGTTTAAATCACTCTTATGCGTGTATAGACATTTGAAAACTTAATTCGCCTTGGAATTAGTCATTTTTCTTCATATCTGAACCTTCCAAATTATTCACATTTGCATATAAAATCATTCGAGGCCTTGTTGATTCTTCCATTTGTGTGAAGTTAAATAAAGAATAAATGACTCTCCACAATGGCTAAGTGCGTTTACACAGTGAGTAAACCATAGACCGGGAAATGCCAATCTGCTGAGTTAGGTGATCTTAGGCAGATTGGCATTAAATCAGTGCTTTGGAATAGAGAGTGAGAGTTTTTTGTTTTGGTCAGCTGGGTGTCTGACACATGCGGAAACCCATCACCATGCTTAAGAGTATCCAAACCAAGTGAAATCCATGCATCCCACCTACAATGTAGAAATTCCAGAGTTGGATTGTTGGAATGGAACGTGTACTCTCTCTCTGGAGGGACGCATGCTGCTTACCTAATTCTAGTAAGTATTAAGCACAGGTTGGCAAGAGCCAAGGCTTGGGGACCCCAGACTGTGCGTTGGGGTACTACTGGAGTCTAACCAGCTAAAACCGCATAGCTTGCCATATGATATCACTGCAACAGGGGTTCCCGCTCTTGGCTGATATGTGACGACCACTGGAAATGTGGATGTGTGGATGTCACGGATTGCAGGCCAGTGCTAAGGTTCGTACATGTAAAATACCCATAGGTGTGATGCAGCAAGCAGCACTGATGAAACTACAGCCCAGTACAGGGAAAGAAAACCAAATGCTTCCAAGAGATGAGACTGCACGAAACTGGTGATTGAAAAGAGTAGTTACGGTCTGGAATCCACTGTCTAAAAGGGTAGTGGAAACAGAGAATTGGATAGGTACTTGAAAAGTAAAAACTTGCAAGGATATGGGGACAGAGCGAGTGAGTGGGACTGATTGGGTAACTCTTTCAAGGAGCCAGCACAGGTACGATGGGCTGAAGGGCCTCCTTCTGTGCTGTAATATTCTATGATTCTAATGGAATTAAAAGTTGCTGCATGCTTTTCTCTGGCTGGGGCCATTAGGTCTGCACAGATAGAAACGCAGATTCTAACAACATTGCTTTTACGAAGCTCTGCTGCTATTCTAATAAAGGATGTCAAAGCTTTTGCAAATGGAAGACATATTGAATGGTTTCCAGTGATTGTTTTTGTGGAACTGTCTGTGTGGTTAAGTGAAAGTTATACTGATTTAGATCAGAATCCAGCGAGACGTTACACATATACAAATGTAACAAATCTTACCATTNAAAAAAATCTTACTGTCCTACTCTCCACTCCTTATAGATCTATGGGGTAAAAATGAGTCTCTTTTTCCAGTCTTTTTTTATTCACTAATGGGGGCTTGAAAAGTGACATAACCATTGATGCTTTTCCTAGCACCTTTTAGAACTGGCTCCCGGTCTTCTGTTGTTTTGCAAAAAACTGTCAAAAACCAAAAGGAATTCAACATTAGTTGCACCAGTGAATAATCCCGTCGAACCATTTACAGCAATTTGTGAGATTCTTTCAATCAACTAACCAGCAGAAAGACAATCATTTTCTTTACATCTTGTCAATTTGATCCTTTTACTGAACCTGTCATTGGGAGGAAATATATTTCATGCCATAGATGCAAGGACAACGTCTTGAGACTCTGGAATATAACCTGATCACATGTGTTTATATGTGATATATATATATATGTATACAATCCTCTCATTTGTCTACAAATCCCTTCACGCCCAGGCACCTTCCTACGGCTGGCTCTGGTCTCCTGCTTGTCCCCTCTGCTCCACCATAGGGGGTAGTGCTTTCAATC